GGCACCGCCGGAGGGGCCAGGCGAGGGTCCCTGCGCCCTGCTGGAAAGGGACGGACACCCCCGTCCCCGCTTCCGCGACCGGCCGCCCGCTACGGCCCCTCGGCTCCAGCATCGGGGGCAGGGGATAGGAAGGGGACTGGGGACGGGACGGGACGGGTCGGGACGGGACGGGACGGGACGGGACGGGACGGGACGGGACGCATCAGCCGGTGCAATTCAGGCTTCTCCCGTCCGGCGGCAGCACGGCTCCGGACTCCGCAGCGGCAGCGCTGCCGGCGGGGCGCCGAACGAGGGCAGCCTCCCTTCGCCACCGGGAGCCCGGAGCCGAAGAGACGGACTAACACAACCAGCGCCTCCTCAGACTCGGGGCCCCGTCCACGGGGCAGCTCCTCGAGCGCGCTGGACCGCAGCCCACCCTGGCCCCGCAGCCCCGCTCCGCATCTGCTTTTGTCCAGCGAGGGCAGAGCTGAGCCGAGCACCTGGGCACCCCACGGGGGTGCCAGACCTGCACATGCCACTGCAGATCCCCATGTCCCGTACGGGGAAATCTGGCTGGATCTGCCGCAGACACGGCTGCCAGAGCCCTGCCGGGCGATTCATAGACACAGGAGGGTTTTTTCCCAGGGTCGGAACTGAGCCCATCCATGTGAGCACCTGTCTGGACCCCACCACATGAGTCCCCCGCCCGGGGCTAAACAGCAGCAATATTGATGCAATCCCTGAGCAAGCCACCTCACACTCATTCGTGCAGAGCCCGGCGAGAGCCCCGCTGCCTGCCCTGTGCAGGGGCCGCTGGGGGAGGATGTCCCGTGGCTGCGCCAGACCCCCGGGGGAGGCTGCAGACACTCGCGAAGTGCATCCACGCGGGCCTAGCGGGTACCCCACGCCCGCGGTGAGCGTCTCGGCTCTCGGAGTAACTGTGTCAGCCCTGCAGCCGCGGGTCCCACCTGGAAGCACGGAGGATGCCCAGAGACCCCTTCGGGCACCTGTGGGCATCGGCGGAGGCCCTGCATCCCTGTCAGCTCTGCATCCGTGGTAGAAGAAGTGACGGGGCTCAGGAATCAATCCCACGTATGAGAAGCGGGCACTCGTCCCGCAAAGCCTTAGAAGACTGGGCCCGGACACACGGGACACACGGCAGAGACCAAACTCGGCCCCAACTCAGGGACAGCAGAGCCGGGGGGCATAGAGTACCCCCGCCCCTTGCCTCTCGTCTGCCCACCGCCCGAGGAGCACACATGTCCGACGTGCCCAACGGGCCGGGCGGGAGCCCAGGGAAGAAGCGGGAGAGTCCGTCCCGGTGCCCCTCGGGCGCCCGCAGCGGGGTACCGCCTGTCCCCGCCCCGGCAGGGAGCCCCGGCCCCGCCGGGCCCCCAGCGCTTCCCGCCGCCGGGTCGGGCTCGGCACCCCGGTAGCCAAACGGGGGGGACATGCCCGGAGGCAGCCCGAGACCCCTCACCGACCCGCGAGTATTGCCGGGAGGTGGGTGGCGAAGCGGGTTCCTCTCGTCCCCCCGGTAGTCCCGGTATGAGCCTCCGCCGAGAGTCGGGGCCGCCAGCAGGCTGGGGCGGGCGCTGTCGCCCGCCACCCCGGCTCGCACTCACCGTGCCCGCGGTGGGGACCATCCCCCGGGCCGCCGCTGCCCCGCATCGCCTCCGCTCCCCGCCGCCCCCCGCCGCCCGCCGCCGCTGCGCCGGGGCGGGGCGCTGGCGGGGGCCGGCGCTGCCCCGCCGGCACCGACTCCCGCCGCTGTTCCCGGTGCCGCTCCCGCTGCGTCTCGGGGTGCGGTGGCGGCGGCGTCAGGAGGACGCGCAGTGCGGGGCACCGGCGGCTCCATCCCGCTCCCGTCGTCGCTACCGGTGTCAAATTCCAGCCACCGTCACCTGACCGGCGGGGCGGGCACCGGCACCGGGACCCCGACTCACACTGGCACCAGGATGCCAACCGGCACCCCGATCCGCACGTAGTGTCACCGGGACTCCGACCCGCACGGGCGCCTGGACCGCACCGGGATCAGGATGGCACCGGAATCCCGCCAGCAGCAGGAGCCGCAGCCCAACCCGCTTCAGCACCGGCTCTCGCCGTGATCCGCACCGCCTCCGAGCTCCCGCGGAAACTCGCACCCCGCCGGGAACACCACCAGGACCCCCGGAGGCAGCCGATCCCCGCTACCGCCACCTGCCCGTCGGCCGACCCCCGGGCAGGCGGACCCGCAGCCTGGACGGACGGACGCCCCGTGATCGGTTCTTCCTGCCCCGACAGCCCGATCACAACGCTACCGGGATGGACACACGGACACCTTCGGGAAAGGGTTCAGCCCTTCCCGGAGCGCTCCGGCAGCAGAACCCCACGGGCACCCTTCGCCCCGCGTCGGAGGGCAGAGCCCCGCGGGGGACCCCTTGCACACGTGGGAATCCGGCGGGGATGGGTTGTCGGGCAGGGTCAGGGCCATCCCGGCAGCTCCGGGCAGCGGCGGGGCCGGCCGGCGTCCCAAGCATCCCGAGCTGACTCGGGTCACCGGGGTGCCTGGCGCTCGCGTCCGGCCGCGCCGGAGGAGGAGTCCGGCCTCCCGCCCGCCCGCGCCCCGTGCCACGGTCCTCCTCGGCTGGGCCGCCCGCCACCGGGCTCCTTACCTCTGCCGCCGCCCTGCCTCCCTCCACCGGGGCCGCCGCTGGCCCCGGGGACATGGGGGCCGGCTGGCGAGTGGAGCCGAGCCCGTGCGAGTCCTTACGTCACCGCCCGGGGCCCTCCGCGTCCATCCCGGGGCTCTCGAGTGCTCCTTGCGAACGTGCCAAATCCCGGGGCCGCCTCCGCTCGGCCCCGCTTCACACGTGTTCCCCTGGCCGGAGCTGATCGCCGGGACGCGCCCCGGGCCAGGCGAGCCTCCCGGGACCGGCCCTCATGGCTGCGGGGTCCGAGGGCGCCCGGGCGGGCTGCGCGCCCCGCTATGCCGCCGGCCGTGTCACCTGCCCCGGCGGCGCTCCGCCGCCTCGGCGCTACTCCCCGGGCTTATGCAACTCCCTGGCTGGAGCAGGGCCAGCGGCTCGGTCGCCGGCTGTGCCACGGCTGCATGCCCAGGTCGCTCCGACCCCGGGCCACCCGCGTGGCTTTAGCCTCCGTCCCGCCGCCCGGCAGCCTGGGCTCCGCGGTCCTGCGGAAGGGTCGGGTGGCCGCTCCTGCAGCCACCTGCGGAGCCGCCGCCTCGCCTGCTCTCATCTCCTCGGATTATCCAGCGCGGGGGTGACAACTCCCGCGTCCTCCTGCGACATCACCTACCAGGGAGTGTGTGGGCACAGGCACTAAGCCGTCCCTGCCACCGCGAGCAGGGACAGCGGAGGTGGCACGCGGCCCCGAGCTGCTGTTTCACCTGCCCTGGAGCGCGGCAGCGTGTGGCCCCGGCTCCCCCCTTTCACCCCCACTCCTGTCCTGGCACAAGCACCTTGGCCTAGTCTGTGGCTATGGGTGGCTCCCTGACTGCTAGTGGGGCTGCGTGGGAGCACGGGCTCTGCGGTGGGACTGGTGCTCCACGGCCTGGGGCTGTTCCCATCTGAGATGTCCTCACGGGCATCAGAGGCAGTGCCCATGGATGCCTCGGCCCAGCAAAGTTTTGGAGGCCCTGGTGCATCCCTGCTGTAGAGAAACAGCTGGGAGCAAGTAATAGGGAACAGGATCCTCTGCTTTGCAGGACTACAGACTAATGCAGCTGCCTGCTTGGAAAATTTCAATGTGAGTGGCATGTCCTGTTCCAGGTTGCCTGGCTGTCCCCATAGAGCTGGGTCTGGCCACAGCCTTGCCCATACTAGGGAAGCTGCCCAGGAAGAGAAGGCTGCAATGAAGGGAAGGGCTGCCTCTGCCTCCCCCACTGATAACCCTCAGGGCTTGGAGACAGCCTCAGGTGCTGGCTTAGCAGAGGGGTTACGCCATCCCCTTCCCTAGTCTTCATGTCCCCAGGACACAGTCAGGAAGTCCTGAGGATGTGATGCTGGTTGTATGCAGGGAGCTATGTGGGGCATGGCACAGGGTATCCAGGGCACCCATACAGGAGAGCCCACAGTGTCCCTGATCATGTGGAAGGGTTGGCTCTGCAAAGTGTGGCCTCAGTTCTCTTCCAGGTATGCCCCCTTCGAGGCTGCTATCCCAGACACCTGGAGGCACTGGCTCCCTCCTCTGTCCTTCTTGTCCTGGGCGATATAAGCCTGAGCCTGCTGTCAGCCTCACTGATGTCCTACCAGCAGCACCTCCTCCCTGTCCTCCCACAGCCATGGTGGCAGGGGATGGTATGTCCCAGCTGTGTGCCTCAATCCTAGCACTGCTTTCCCCTCCTGGGCATCCTATGAGTACTGGCTCTACCCTGGAGCATCTGGGCATGGCTCAGGCTGCACAGGCTACTGGGGTGCAGTGCAGGGTTCCAGCCCCCACAGACAGAGGGGTGGCCTGCTCCCTGACTGCTGCTGGCACTGCCTGGCTTGGTACCTCCCAGAGCACTGCCTGTGCCAGCCCGTGCTCCTGCACCCCTGGGGCTGGGGTGCCCCCAGGTGCCTTGTCTGGTCTGGAATAAGCCCTGCTGAGCTGAGCCAAAACCTGCTGTGACATCTGTCCCTAAAGGTGCCACCCTTGTGTGTGGCAGGATGGGGTGATGCAGACCAGCCAGATGGCAGGACTGAGCATGTTGTGACTGCTGTCCGGGGCCATGGCTGGGTGTGACAAAACATACGTGGGAGAGCTGTGACGCAGGCCGCGTCCCATCTCAGCAGTGACGTGGCTCTTTCAGGGATATCTCTGAACAAGTCTCTTTGTCTCAGCTGACCTGAATGTCCTTGTGTGCCCTGGTCCCAAGCTCTGTGCTCTTTTCTCCCTCCGCCCTCCCACGGCCAGGACAGGGCATGGGCCATCCCTGAGGCAGGCTCAGCTGGATGGCAGTGGTGGCTCTGCTCTTTAAATACCAGGAAAAGAGGAGGGATGGAAGGAAGATTTAAGCTGCTCCAGCATGTCCTTGAAACCTGCAGTGATGCATCAGGGAGGGCTGGGCAGTTGCTTTTCTGGTGCCCCATTGGTGCTAGCAAAACCCACCCCTTGTTTAGGGTGGGAGGTCTGGCAGACCAGTCACTCACCTGGAAGTAGCCTTCCCGTGCCTCCAAGCGATGGAACTGTCTCCAACATATCCTGTGGCTCTGGGAGCCTGGTTGCATCACCAGGGCTTGCCTAAGGGGTTACACTCTTCCAGCTCGGATTTGGCAGGTATGAGAGCTGGTCACAGCCTCGGTCCCTGGCTTCCTAAACCATTTCCTTTTCCAGGACACTGTGGTGAGAAGGTCACTTGGCTGGACACCTGCCTTTGTCAGGGCCGCACCCAGCCCAATTGCTACTGTGACCCTTGGCAGGAAGATATCCTGCTGGCAGGGAGTCCCCAGGAGAGCAGTCATAGTCACAGACAGCTTGTCACAGGCAGGACAAGGCCTGTGCCTTCCAACCTTAAATGGAAGGCACTAAATTAACCCAACCTGCAATCCCCTCTCCCAACCTTCAAAGTCACCTGCAAGGAGAAGCACAGCCCTCTCCTGTTCCCAGCACCAGGCCAGTGGCACTGGCTAGCTGCAACTCTTGGCAGCTGGATTACTGTTCTAGAGGAGCCAGCAGTGAAACCAGGCAGGGGACAGCCCAACCAGGGAAATCCCTCTGCCTCCCATAAAAAAGGCCCGAGGCAGCAGAAGAAAGAGGCCAGCCAAGCTTGTTTGATAGCTTTATTGCTTCTGTGATATGACTGAATTGACGTGCCATAAGCCGGCTTGGAGGAGCCTGCAAGACTCTTACCCTCCCTGCCTAGAGGGAAAATTAAAAAAAAATGCAGAAACTAAAACTAATTTTAAAAACTCATTGAGTTCTTGCATCTTGGCTTGGTACAGTACCGGCGAATGCACTGGCCTTTTCGAGATCCTGTGCAGGCTGTGCAAGGAGCCAGAGCCCAAGGGGCTGGGCTGTGGCCCCAAAGGGGCTCCTGCACTGAAGGACACATCTCTAATACTGCGAGTGACCGAGAGCACACACCACACTGGTGCCCACGGAGCTCGGCGTGGTGGCTGCCTCCCTGCCAAACACTCTGGAAGCTCTTGCCTGTGTCCAGTTCTGCCCACACCCAGCTCAACTGCATCCATTTGACACAGACAGCCCTGTCCTGACACCTTCCCCTGCTCCCAGCAGTGCTCACACTGAGGGGTAGTACAGCATGGCCAGGCAGGGCCTCTCCACTTCTCCCTCCAAGGAAGGAGACACTGGAAGCCCAGAGATGCTGGGATGAGGAATGTTGGGCTGAATCCCACTGCTGCATCGTGTACCTGGCCATGGTGCTTACCTTTGGCACGTGTGAGCTCAAGGCCACAGCACGGCCAGGCCTAACCGGGTGAGCTGGCGGTGGGAGCCCAGCGCCAGCATGGTGAGCACTGACACAAATGCACAAGCAGCTCATGGTGTGGTCAGCACAGCAGCAGAACTCTCCGGCACCTCCTGTCCTCCAGAGCAGCACATGCAGGTTGCCCTGCAGCTCCCCAGACCTGCTCTCTGCACTAGCTGGAGCAAAACCCACTGTGGTCACTGGCCCCTGATCTCCCTGTGTTTCTCTGGGCTGTCTCCAGGCAGGTTCCCTGCCACCTGAGTGGCCTTTCTGCACCAAAGCGCATCAGAGGCACCAGGCAACCCCGCTCTATATTTAGGCTGTAGAGAATTCCCCTGGGCTCTCCCTTCCGATCTGACAAGGTGAGTCACTGCGAGGGAGAGGCCAGGACTCACATCCGTCCCACTGACCCTGCTCTGACCCGCGAGCACCGCTCCGAGCTGCTGGGACTGCAGCGTTTCGAGGGCGGGAGGTGGCTGCAGGTGCACATGAGGAGGCAGCCAAAAGAATGACACCCAGGAGCAAAACCCAGTGCTGTGCCCTGCTCCTGGAGCTGGAGCCCCATCACCTTGTCATGGGCTGCTCTGTGGTGTCAGTGAGCTAGAGGAGAGTCTTGGTCCCCAAACACTCTTTCCTTCTACGTGCAGGTGGTCCTGACCCACCGCAGTCACGCTGGGACATGCACTCATCTATTCCACTTGGGCTCTTCTGCCTGGAGACGCCTGTCAAGGTGGAGGGAAGGGCTTGGAATCACCTCCCTGGTCTGTAGGGGAAACTTCCCATCAGGACCTGTTCATGGCTGTGGTGGAGAGCTGGGATGACAGGGAAGGTTGAGCAGTGGCCATGCTGTGTCCTTGGACCTGGAGCCAATGAGCTGGAAGATAAAAGTGTCTTGGAGCTTTGTAGTGTTCAATAAACCAATTGAACAATCCTCTGTGGGGGTCCCAGCAGAGACACCAAAGGCTCTTCCCTCCTCCTTCGGGATGCAGCTGCCCACTCTGCCATCTCAGCTCACTGCAGCCCATGGATACAGCCCTAGGCTCTCATGGCAGCTGGTTAAAGCACCAAGAGAGAAAGTGGATGTCAACCCTTCCCAGCCACAACCTCAGCCAGACCAGACCAAGCATTCCCACTGCCAGCATGGCTGGGACTCAGCAGAAGATGGTCCCAATTCCAGGCTGACACCCAGGAACTGCAAAGAAAGAGTTACCTGGTGAGAGCCATGGAAATTCAGTCCCATGGAGTCCTCAAGAAGGAAAAACAAAATGGGAGATACTTAAAAGGAGTATCTGCCACAGCATATGCTCAAAAACAGGCTGCAAACCTCTCAGAGCACTCTGAAAGGAGGCATGTCCCTGGGGAACGGGGACTGCCTGGCTGGGAGGCCAGAGCAGTGGGGATGAGACATGGGAAGGGTAAAGGGAAGGAGAGCCTCCTAGCATGCCTTCTGCAGCCCAAAAACAGGATCTTTGAGCTGCTAGATGACAAGGGGAACAGCAGCCACTACAAGAAGCTGGGCAGGACTTGCCCCTGAGCAGCTCCTTGGCTCCCCTGCCTGCTCCTGAGGGAGGCATCCCACAGCAGTCTGTAAGCAGCAGTCAGTGCCATGTCCTGGGAGCTGCCTCTGCCTGCAGCCTGGTCTCAAACCATTCTGTACAGTTTGCTCGTCTGCCCCAGGCCTGGGTCACTGCCTGCCCCTCCTGCACACCCCCTTGAAGGTCTCAGGTCCAAAGCCACAGTCCCTGCAAGGTGCAGAGCTGCTCTAGGGGGGCCATGCGAGCCCTGCTCTGAGCATTCCTTGCCCATTCCAGGTCATGCTCCCTTCAGCCCAGAGCAAGGCAGACTGCAATCCTTGGGCTGTGTCAGACACAGTGCCAGAACCCTGAGCCCAACCCACACCCCTCTGGGATCCCACTCTACTGACCCCAGCACCAGCTGGCTGTGTACCAGTGCCTTGACACCCAGGCACTGGGACAGTGCCTGTGGGTGCACTCCAGCCTGCTCCAGGCTAGGAGAGTACAGGAGCCACTTTTCACATGTAACTGCTCATTCCCTTGGCTACCTCCCTCCTGCCCATGCTCTTCAGGTGGATGAGACCACCCTGTTGCCCTTGCACTTGGCCACGTTGATCAGTTTATTCCAGCTCCTCTGAAATACGTATACAAATCAAATGTGCAAATAGTGCATCTTGGGACCAAGTGGGCAAAGGAAGGACGTGCTCCTGAGAGCAGGAGGAGCAGCAGTGCTAGAGCAGCATGGGAGGAGCTTGGAAATGGAGTGAGCAGGGTCCAAGCAGAGGGTGAGAGTTCCCATCAGGTTCCATCATCATTGAGGTCACACGTCGCTTAAATAGGGAACATGATTGAGTCTGGAACGTAAAACAAACATCTTCAGCAGTCTGCTCTCAAACTGTAAAGCTTGAGATCTCTGCTCAAGATCTGACCTCCTTGCAAAGAATAAATTACTCCCCTCCCACACAAAACCAAAGCGAGATGCTGTCCAGAAACAGTGACACAAGTCTGCACGGACTCTTCAGGGGCCCTGCACAGCAGGCACAAACCAAGAGGCCTGAAAGCCTTGAGCACAACGGGGCAGGCTCCCCTGCATCGTGACAGGCAGGAAGGTGGGGAGGGTCTGCTGTAGGTGGAGAAAGCCACCGGCTCCCCGCTCCACCTCGGGGTCAGGGCAGAGGCAGAGCAAATGGCTATGGAAAACACAGCCAAGTCAGTGGCTGCTGTTGCTGCCTCTGTGGAGGATGTGAGGAAAAATGTAGAAAAACAAACCCATGTTCATCTCCATCCAGAAGCTCCAAGTGGAGAATGAGAGGAAGCCATTATTCTCCCTTCAAATTGTAGCAGCACCAATGACATTGAAGTTTTGGATGGATTTGTTTTCCTGGGGAAAGGTCAGAGGCTGGTGACAATGCAGATGGAGCATGAAGAGGCCAGGTTTTTCGCAGGGCTGTGCGCAAGCAGACTTTGCCTTGTACCTTGGTATTTCTAGTATGGTTCCAGCAGTCTTTTAAAAAATAATACTTTGTACATTCAGGCTTTGCTGCCTTGGGGCAGCATCACCTCCCATTTGGCACTAATCATTTTATTCACAAACTTTTCTTCTCTCTCCTGAGTCTTTCCTGTCTAATTCAGGATGCAGAAGATCTGTCTGCGATGCAGAGTTCAAGAACTGTCCACTCAGCCCCTTGCCCACCTCCTGCCAGCTCTAGGCCTGGAGGTGGGAGATGTAACCCTCGTGCAGACTGGCAATGCAAGAGGGTTTTCCCAGAGCACCTGAGCATCTCTGGGTGTCTTCAGCGAGGTGGGATTCTTGCAGGGGGCTGCCAGTGCCTGCTCCCAGAGCTGTAGTGTGTCTTTGTCTCTTCTCTTGGACGCAGTGGCTGCAGCCACTCAGATCCCACTGGTTAGGTCAGTGATGACTCGGGCTTTCACCAGCTTTCTCAGAAATTCCTTCTCCCGCTGGATGTTGTGCGTCCAGGACTGGAAGAAAATGAGAGAGACTGGTCAGCAACTACCCTGGCCAAGCATGTTGCTGTCCCTCATGCTTGGGAGACTGTCAGTGACACAGATCCTGCTGTAGATCACAACAGTCCTTGCACACTAAGGACCTTCTTTTATGTAAAGCTGACACAACAGGGTCAGACCCGTGTACCTGAGGTACAAGGTTTCCCCGTGGGCTGGGGGAAGTTTTTTGGCATGGTGAGATCTGGGCAATCCAGGTTCCTTGGGCAGATGTGCCCTTCCAAACTACTGCACACAGGAGTCCAACAGCACAGCACTGGTGATGGTCTATGCCAGGGAACAGAGCTGGCAGGGGACACAATGGCAGGACATCTACCCACCCCACACAGCACCCTTCCAGGCCATGGCAGGGCATGGGGGTACATGCAGCTGAAACACCACAAGACCATCCCCATCAAAGCTGACTCTTCCTTCTGCTAGCTCTATCGAGGGGAAATTGCATGTTAAAGGCTACACTAATACAATGTGAGGGTGAAAGGGCCACATCTCACAGCAGGCACTTCAGAGCAGCGATTGCTATAGCTGGTGTCAGCCCACCCAGATGTGTTCCGTGCAGCAGGCTTGAGCTGGGATCATAGCATCTGCCATCACTTGCTGTGCTGGGACTATTGAAGCACTTAATGAAAGCAGGAAGTGGTTTGCCACTCCCTGAAGCCTAAGGCAGAAAAGGGAAAAGCAACTTTCCCCAAAATCTCCCAACAGGACAAGAATCACAGTACATGATTTTGGCACAGTGCTCTGGTCAGCAGGTAATATGAACTCTAAACACAATGTGGACAATGACAAAATTACTCTACAGGAGCCTCCCTGAAATTACCTCAAACCACCAAGGCATTAGCCCCATGAGCACACTGAGGGCACTCTGTCACAGGTATTGAAATCCAGTTTACCCACTGCCAAACCAGGGGCACCTTGCCTGCAAGGCACTGGTTGTATACATCTTGCACAGTGTGCCTCTGGCTCTCCTGTCATCCTGCTTATCCTGGCTGGGACAAGCAGCTCTCAGCCATGACTGCCGTGTGGCACTGACAGCCCAGGAATGACATGCACACGGTGGGCTGTCAAGAGGTTCAAGGCACTCTCTAGATCTCCAGAACATTTTGGAAATACCTTTCTTGCTACTACTGTGCATTTACAAGCCACTTCCATCCTCTCAGTGCACAGGAATGACAACAGTTAAAACTGCTAAAGAAACTTCAGGCAGGTATTGCCTTGTAATCTGTGTTCCAAAGAAGTATTTAACTTCCTCTGCTCCAGTGACACTGTTACTTGAACACTGGAAAGGCTACACCACTACTGGGAACAGGACCACACATGGAAAACTGTGCTGGTGCTCTTTGGGACCTTGGAAATGCTTAAGTCCCAATCTCTAAACTGAAAAGATGCTGCCCTGAAACAACTCAGTGCTTGGCTTCAGCTAACATAAAACCAGAAGCTGACAAGTGGCACTGGGAATAAGGGTTACAAAGGCTTGTAAAAGCAAAAAAGCATCAGTTCCAGAAGGAGCAGTGGGAACAATGGTGGCACAGAGAGGGCTGGGAGAGCAGGGCTGAGCATGCATTGGAGCCAGAGAGCCAGGATCCCCCAAAGTGCTGGAAACAGTTCCACATGTGGCATGTCAGCTGGGGGTCCTGAGCCTGGCCCGTGCCATGCAGCAGTGTCACTTCTGCCAACACAGCCCCTTGCTAGGAAGGCTCAGCCCAGCAGAGGCAGCTGAGTGAGTGAGCACTGCCTGCGGGCACAGAGGCCACCCTGGGACACCAAGTCTCAGTGCATTCACCTGCATCTGGCTGGGTTTGTTGTTGAAACCTGCCTGGAGCACCAGGATACCTCACAACACAATCTGAGCTGTCCTCCCCGCCTTTCAGCCTCATCACTCTGTATGAGAAGCCAACTGGTTTCGGCCAGGACAACCATTCGTGTTTGTGTTTTTTGTACAGATGAACTGGGAGTCTGCCACTTGTAGGCAAACTCAAACCACCTAAAATGCCACCTCAGGCCATGTGCAAGTGCCTTATCTGATGGCAGGAGAAAATCTACTCTGTGAAAAGTACAAGTGGAGCAGGAATTTAAGTTCAGGAGGTAGATAGCAAAACTTTGGGTGATACAATTGCAGTCTCTCACATTACAGCTAGGTCTGGCTCCAGCACTCACTGCAAAGCTGCTGGCAAGACCTACCAACCTGTGGTTGTTCAGCACCCAGGCTGTTTTATACCCCAGGCACTGCCACTAACTGCTTTTCACAAGCAGACAGTCACACGAAAGGCAATTCAGCCTCCCACCTGATCCATGGATCGTAGTGATGTCCACATCAGTACTCTCTAATGTTTTGTGGTTAATGTAAGCCCATAGAGGAAGAGTTTCCCTCGTGAGAACACGCTTTCATCCCTCCCAAAGAGCACATCAGGGCACTCAGTGCAGTGCTGCTCCCCCATCGCCCGACAGCAGCATGGGCAGGAGGGATGAGGCATGTCTTCAACACCAGCTCCGGTTACTGATTACAGGAGAGGGACTCACTCATCCCACTGACAGACCGAGCTGATCAGACCAAGGAAGCTGCATTCCAGCACTAGCAGCGGAAGTGGGGACAAGAGCCAGAGCAGTTTTCTCAAAACTGACAGGAAAGCAGGCACCTCAGTCCCATTGCTCTGACAGGAAAAGGCAACAAAATACACCCTAAACACCAGAAGGTTTCAGGGTGTATACACCTCAAATAGCACCATGGGTATGCACCTCAAATAGCACACAGTGCCAGCAGAAAACTCCAACTCCTTTCTTGTCAATCTGCACCTCAAAGACAGTGATGGAACAGTTTGGAGCATTTACTGTCACCTCCACCTTCCTGTCCCTGCATATCACCACCATTGCTGCAAGCTGGCAGACTGGCTCTGTCCTCTCTCTCCTCTGCTGCTCGCATCCAATGCAGCTTCCACTTGTGGAGTCAAACAGGCTGCTTGCCTGAGCCCATGGTTAGAGCAATGAACTTTGAAAGTTCCAACAGGAACATCCCAGGAGGTTCCAGATCCCTTCTTGTTCTCCAGGGATCAGGCTAGGATTTCCTGTGCTTTGGGGCTGTCTCTGGGTAGAGGACGTTTGCTTTTTCCAGTGGAGAGCAAAGCAGAGAGCACAGAATTACTCTGACAGCACTGTTATGGCTGTTTATCCCAGGGAGGTGGCAGTGGCTCTGAGTGCTTGGTCACAGTTATTAGAGGAGAATTTATCATCAGTTAAAGCCACCTTTCAGGGTTATGCAAATGCAGCAGCCCCAAACCACCTATCCTTTTTATCTTGACAATTCCACAAAGAAGCACAAAACATCATCTGTCGCTTCAAGAAAAGCCAAGTAGAATATTTTAAGCCTAAGCAAATGTTTCAGAGGCAAACCCAGGAGGAAGGTAAGCTCCCTGTCTGTAATCAATTACAGTCGGGGAATGCCTCAGCTTCAGACAACATTAGTCTTATCAAGCATGCTGCAATTTAAATACAGGAACACTAAATTAGGGAGAGTGAGTCAATGAGGAATGCATTCAAGAAAAACAGCAAGTTGTACAGAAGGAGTTTTCTCAGTTCTGTTACATCCTCTGTATTTCTGCATGTCAGCAGCACTTCTCCATGAAAACCTGCAGAGAAACCAGAGTGGAGCAAGAAGTGCTACTTCACTGGCAACAGTGGGTTTCCAGTCCCCACCAGTGCTAATTTATCTTTGTCTTTAACCTTCACTGCCTTGTCTCTAGAGCTGCATAATTTTCATCATCAGACTGCCCCACTCTGCTTGAAACCGCTTGGGATTTACGCATACTGAAACAAAAGGGATGGCTGGGCACCCTCATCTTCTTTTTTAGGGGATTTACTCACAGTTCCTTTATGCCCAGTCATTCTTACATCAACTTTAAATTTCAAACAGCTGTTTTTGCTCTTGCTTACTCTTAACACACACATGCACACAGAGAAACTGTATTTCTTTCCAGTCTTCATTTTACCAAGTTAAACAAGCAACATCTTTCTTCTACCAAAACAAACGGTTCTTTAACACCATGAAAACTGGATCACAGAATTATAGGAGCTCCCTCTGCCCCTATTTACTCCAGATTTACTTCTCATAAGCTAGGAAAAAAGGCTCACCAGTGTCTCAGAGGAAATTCCCTCACTTGACAAGAACTCCTTTCCTCTAGTCTTTCCAGAGTTCTATTTGTCTTTTTTTCCCCCAGTAACACTCTGGCAGCCTGAATTATTCTGTGAATAATTTGTACCTATCTATGCACTTTCCTCCTCTGCCATTGCCAAATAATGATATCCCAGATTAGAGTCAAAATGTCTGTTATTGCCCCAAATAGCATGACCTTCCATTCATACTCTTAGGTTTCATGTCATCCAATTCACTTCTGTTCTCAAGGTGCTCATGGCCTTCCTGGATGGTATTTTGATCCTCCCTTGTATTGACCACACCTGGTTTTGTCTCATCACAAATTCCACTTGCACACCATTGCCTTCTGTGCCAAAAATAATTAAAGCAAACACTAAACATGACCTCCTGCAGAGGAACTCCCAGCTGTTCATTCAGTGCTGCTTTTTGTGTTCTCTCTTAGAGAGACTATTCATGTACAGGTGTTGCACCAAACCTTGGCTTCTGAAGCTTAACTAATAATAACATCTCACAAGGCACAGGATTGAACGCTTAACTGAATTTCTGACAGGCGGGATTGCTACACTTCCTCTGTCCCAAGAATGATTTTCTTTTTAATCAAATAAAGATATTAAATTAGTTTTTGTAGCCTGCCTTTGGTAAATCCATGTTGTGTTTGCTTTCAGGATTTATTTATTCTCTCATTTAAACTCTGCTCTGAAGTTCTGAATAGTACCTCTGAGGTTGGTTTAAGAGTTCTGAATTTGACAGGATTATTTTCCTTGACTTGCTCCCATACCCACTCCCACCACCAAAAAAAAAAAAAAAAGGAAAA